TGTTGACAAATGTGCTTCTTACATAACTTTGTAGATTCAGGCTGGCATGGAATTCTTTATTCCCTCTTGACGATTCCAGGTTAAGCCCCACTCTTCTCCATGGTTTTCCTCACATTGTGCTGCTGCAATTGCCAATCGAAACCATTACTTCCATATCTATCAGCAAAACAATTCTCCAGAAAACAGACGTCTCTTTATTACTGCTAGGAACCATTGTTAAAAGGTTTTTTTATTACTGCTTTATTACCTGCTATTCTCAGATCATGAAATCTCGTATTTCATCACAAAAATTAGGCTCTCGTGACTTCTGGAGAGTTTTTAATAGTATCAATAATAAGGGCAAGTCTGTAATTCCACCTCTTTTGTACAGTTCAGACTTTGTCACCTCACCTAAAGACAAAGCTGAATTGTTTGCCAAGAACTTTTCATTAATATCATCTCTTGATGCCACTAGTTGCGTTTTACCTGATATACCCGTCAAACAGGTTGATCCATTGCTCGACATTCGTATCACTCCAGCTTCTGTATCTAAAGTGATTTCCCGCTTAGACTCTTCTACAGCTTGCGGCCCGGACAACATACCTGTTATAGTCTTGCAGAAGTGTTCTCCTGAGCTGTCGTCTATCTTTTCAAAACTATTCAACAAGTGCTTATCAGAGTCTTGTTTTCCAGCCTGCTGGAAAGCAGCATCTGTTATCCCTATTTTTAAAAATTCTGGAGAGCCATCTGATTCATCTAACTACCGTTCCATTAGTCTTCTTCCTATCATAAATAAGGTTTTTGAATTTTTAATTAACACTTAATCTCTCATCTCGAATCTCATAACCTACTTTCTGATCATCAGTATGGATTTCGATCTTCTCGTTCTACGGGTGATTTGCTATCAGTAATAACCGATAGGTTTTGTTGCGCATTAGATAAAGGTGGAGAGGTTAAGGCCATTGCTCTTGACCTTTCTAAAGCGTTTGATAAAATTTGGCATGCTGGTCTCCTCCATAAGCTTTCTTCTTATGGTGTATCTGGAAACATCTTTAAGATTATTGAATCCTTTCTTTCCAATCGTAGTATAAAAGTTGTCCTTGATGGACAGCACTTTTCTTCTTATTCTGTAACCTCAGGGGTTCCATAAGGTTCAATCCTTGGCCCTATACTTTTTTAAATTTACATTAACGATCTTCAAGATATTCTCACATCTAAGGTGGCATTGTTTGCTGATGATACTACCATTTATTCTTGTCACGATAAGAAGCCAACTCCCTCTGATTGCTTGCAGGGGGCATCTGAGCTCGAAAAGGATCTCACTTCTGCTACAGCATGGGGCTCGCAGTGGCTGGTGAACTTTAATTCAGATAAAACTCAATTTTTTTCGGCCAATCGTTATCGCAATAATTTAGACTTTCCTATATTTATGAACGGTAATGTACTCGATGAGTCTTCTACCCTTCATCTTCTAGGATTAACTCTTACATCTGATCTTTCTTGGAAACCTTATATCAAATCCGTTGCAAAATTAGCATCTGCTAAAGTTGCTTCTCTTTATCGAGCTCGTCACTTTCTTACTCTGGATTCTATTCTCTATCTCTATAAATCTCAAATCCGGCCTTGTATGGAATACTGTTGCCATATCTGGGGCGTATCTTCTAATGATGCCTTTTCTCTTTTAGACATGGTGCAAAAACGCATTGTAAACATAGTTGGACCTGCTCTTGCAGCCAACCTTCAACCTCTGTCACATCGTCGTAATGTTGCTTCTCTTTCTCTTTTCTACAAATACTATAATGGGCACTGCTCTAAAGAGCTAGCGTTTCTTGTGCCATCTACTAAAATTCATTCTTGTGTTACTCGTCATTCAATTAAGTCTCATCCTTTTTCTGTTACTGTTCCTAAGTGCTTTAAAAACTCTTATTCGTCTAGTTTTTTTCCTCGAACATTAGTTCTTTGGAATTCGCTTCCTTCATCTTGCTTTCCTGATTCATATAATTTGCAATATTTTAAATCGTCTATCAATCGTTAGGATTCTAATTTTATGACGGATCCTAATATTGTTGAACATTTTTTTCTTCTAAACTACAGCAACCTGGTACTCAAAAGAAGCAGATTAATACGCTGATTTTGAAAATAATTTTTGTTCTAATTCAAAACTAATGACAAATAAATAATGTTGTTTTTTTCATTAAAAAAAAACCCTGTCTTTATCAAAACGGGGGTTTTAAGTTATATATTTGAAAATAATTTTTTTACTTAACTTTTTAGTTATTAATGATAAAGCAAGCATTTCTTTCTGCTTTTTTAGAGTCCAAGGTTAAAATGGTTTAGAAAAAAAAAAATCAAAAATATTAGGATCCATCAAGAATTTAGAATCCAAATAGGAACCTCAAGATCTTATCAAAATCAAAAAATAATTATTTACTTTCATCTTTTAAATAATAGACATCGATTCGTGTCTCAGAAATATTGATTTTTTTTTGCTATGAAAATTGCTCCACCCTAACATACAAAT